CATGGCCATATAGCCCGGAAAAACCTACAACAACCCAGTGATTCCGGCCATGAAAGCCTTCGACAATGCATTGAACTATAAGATCTATCAACTGAAAGGTTGCACGTTCAAAGCACCGGGTCGGCATGAGCAGCCGACCATCAGCCCTGCTCACTGTTTACCTAAGCAGTTAAAAAACAGCTTTAGCTGTAATTAGAGAAATTAAGTACCACTAAAAGCGGGGAGGTGTTTGTTTTACAACGCCATAAAGAAAAGTGAAGATCAGAAAATGTATTGTTGAAGGCTTTCATGGCCGGAATCACTAGGTTGTTGTAGGTTTTTTCAGGTTATATTGCCATGTTCTAGAGGCATTCTCTCTAGAACATGGCCATATAGCCTGAAAAAACCTACAACAACTCAAGATCAGAAAATGCTGGAATGAGGAAGTCCTGACGGCTCATCATTGAAGGTGGAGTGACAGCACCCCCTGTGGACTCAAGCCCAACTGTCCATGGCATCGAAACAACACCTCCGTCTGTGTACTGTCTATACAAATGGCATTGAATGTTTGCCATGTATGTGTACTTGTGATCTGCCCTGAGTCCTCTTTGGGGTGAGAAGGGCGGAATATAAATAGTGTTGTTGTTGTTGTTGTTGTTGTTGTTGTTGTTATTATTCAGTGAAGCCCAATGGGATCAGTAGTTTACCCATTATTTATGAGTCTAAACACTTACTTCTTTTGTGAGTAAAAAACTTGTCTTCAGGCCCATCCTTAGCTTTCTTGATAATGAGTTTTCCCATCTCAACATCCACTTTAAGATGTATTTTGGGAGAAATCCCAAGGGAGTCTGCTTTTACCTGTGAAAAAAAAGGAAGTGTTGTAAGTATTTTCCCCTCTTGGATATTATATAACTCTCAGAGCCACAACACTGCATAACGATAAGCACAAATGTATATTTATGGTATGCAAATTTAGCTGTATTACACCCAGGAGATTTGGCTAGATGAATATGGATTCTTATATTTATTAGAAGAAAATCTTGTTCCTTATTTCCAAAAGATACCAAATCCAAAAAATTGAAAAATGAGTTATAGGTGATAGCATGTTTCTGGCTAGGAGTAGGATATTATGCACACATCAATCTATCAAAATGTATCAAATTACTTTGGTATAGGGTTTGGAAAATTCTTTCCCACCCTCAGTATGAAGGCAGGGAAGGACTTTGGTCCCTACAGTGAAGGAAGAGAAAAAATAGTCCTGGCCGGGACTTATTGTGGGCAGGGACAGCATAAGTGCACTCCCCGTCCTTTTCTCTCATTCTCTCGTCATCGATGACCCACCCGCCCTATTCTGTAACAGTGTGCTTTTACAAGGGTTGCCGATGGGGCCAGGTAGGCATTCCACCCCCCACCGCTTTCAAGGGGTTTTTTCACCTGTCCTACACTGTTTAATCCAAGGGTCTTCAAACTAAGACCCGCAGGCCGGATGTGGCCCTCTGAGGTAATTTATTTGGCCACCACACTAAACTTAAACTTATGTCACCCTAAGTCTGAAATGGTTTGAAGGCACACAACAACAACAATCCTAATTGACTTGACTATTTCATCAGCCAAAAGCAGACCCACACTTCCCACTAAAATACTGCTATGATTTTGTTGGTTAAAATTGTTCTTCATTTTAAATATTTTATTTATTTATTTATTTATTTATTTATTCATTCATTCATTTAGAGCTTTTATAACCCAGTCTTCTCGACCTCCGAAGAGGGACTCAGGCCAGTTCACAACAGAAGATTCATAGACAATAGTATAAAAACATCACAACCTCATAATACACTAATCCATAAAATACATTAAAATGCAATCATATAATTACATAAGGCCAGGTCGTCAGAGTGAAATCACAATTCATCACCATCCGTCAGTGTGGTCAAGAGTTATTGACTCAATCATCAAATGCCATATTCCAAAGCCAAGATTTCACCAGCTTTTTAAAAGTCAGGAGAGAAGGGGCAGATCTAATCTCCAGCGGGAGAGAGTTCTAGAGCTGAGGGGCCACCACCGAGAAGGCCCTGTCCCTCATCCCCACCAGACGCGATTGCGAGGGTGGTGGGACTGAGAGCAGGACCTCTCCAGAAGATCTTAACAATCTTGATGGTTCATAGGGGAGAATCTGTTCAGACAAGTAAACTGGGCCGGAGTCCCAGTCTTGTTGTCCTGTTCTTTCATGTTTTCTGCACTACAAATAAGATACGTGCAGTATACACAGGGATTCATTCATGGTTTTTTCCCCCCAAACTATAGTCAAACTATGTTTTTTCAAGTCTGAAGGACTGTGAACTGGCCCTCTGTTTAAAAAGTTTGAGGACCCCTGGTTTAATCCATGACAAATTGGATGAGTGGGTTCTAAATAGACTTCACACGTGAAAATTAGGGACAGGTACATATCAATGTGCATCAAGGCACCCTTTTGTGGTGTAGGCAATGGGTGGGAACCCTAATCTGTTATTGAACTAATCGAGGTGAGGGCGAACAGGAGTGCCCTTGAGAGTTATGGACTGAATTCTCCAACCGTTTCCCTAAAGGATCACCTTGGGAACAACATGAGGTTGCATCCGGGGACCTTGGTTTCTCACCATTGTTTGAGGGTGAGTTGGTCTCTGATGGCCATTGCCTCATTTTATTACATGCCAAATTCAAGTTTAAGTTCAAATTCAAGTTCATGCCCTTAAATTGGTTGGCATATCACACAGAGATTGATTGGTAACGTATAATAAAAGTTGCCCATAGTTAGCTCACACAGTTGTGTTGTCTCATGATTTCACTGGTGGGAGAGCAATTGCATTTTATAGAAAAGCAATGCGCCTCTTCATAGGTTTTGTTTGTTTGTTATTGTTGCTGATTTGTTCAGATAGATTTGGTATTTTTGGAAACAAACTCCACAAATATGGTGGGATTTTGATGCTGGTGGTGCTTTTGTATTCCTTAATCAATGTTTAATAAACACAAAGTCACCTCAAAGGTCACAGGAGGGATAAGTGAACGCCGATGTGTTGAGTCAGGTCCTTCGACCAACATTTTTTTCACCTGTAAAATGCAAGCACATGCACTCCTTATTTGGCAATAGAAAGCTTCAACTGTAGAAAATATTAAAGATTCTTTATTATAATCAGTAGACCAATGAGGATGAATAAACATACAATTTAGTCACAGAGATTCTGGCTGTCAAAGAAAATGGATCAGGAAAAAACAGGTAATCATCTAATTCAACTTAGCTTATCAATGCTCTTCATGTATAATGGAGCAGCCAAGTATATTTTCACTAACAGGGCATTCACTAATAGGGAGTTCAGTAAATAAGAAGGCAATTTACAATTTTCTAAAGCTGTAGCTAATTACTGGATAGAAAAATGAATTTGTTATGTGGACATGTTACAGTTTATGATAATGTGGCTTTATAACAAAAGGTTTCCTAAATAGCTAGCTAATTCTGAGAGTATAAGCTTAGCATTTTATGAATCCTGAGGAAAGCAGTCTAGACATGGAGGCATGTTGCGAGAGAGTTGAGTTCTTGACTGTCACAAGAAAAGATAAATAGCACTTTTCAGTAAGGTTCACAACAAATGTTTCAGGATCCCCCTCCTACCCATCTTACTGCCATTCTTACATCCTTAAATAATACTAGGATGAAGAAAATACAGAAATAACCATGAAAGGTGTATGAGCAATGCCAATCAAAGATAAAAAGAGAACAAGATAGACCTGTAAACATTACTGTACCTTGTCTTCAATGGAAGCAAGTACACTTGTCAACTGAGTAAGTTTTGTACGGTTGGCTTCATAAGATGGCTAGGAAGAAAAGCATTTGTAAAAAGTATAAGGTCTGGTAGAATATCTTTTTCTCACAACAGCAGCTTGTACCACATACACATATGACAGAAAGGATAGTAAGAACTCACATATTTTGTATTATCATAACTAGTCCTATATAATCTGAAAAATTACAGCCAAGAACTTAACTGAATATGCTGAAGAGTTAAACCGAAAACTTTCAAACCTGTTGAGAAGAGGCTGGAAAGTGATGGAAAGACAGTTTTGTAATGATGGGCTGAGGAGCCGAGCCATGGAGAGGAAAATGGTGACATTTATAGAGTCAGGCATAACTTTGCCATGGCTTCAGGCAGAAGAACTTTAGGTACTTGACTTACGTAGACTAATAGAAGGCAAGATTTCTCAGTGGGATACAGTCAGAATTGAACACATGAACTTATGAGGTACTGATGTATCACGCTCATGTCAGATCAATGGCCTGGCTAATGCAACATTGTCTGTCTTGACTGGCAGCAGCTCTCCAGAGTTTCAGACAAGGAGCTTTTCTCAGCTACTTCATAAGTTGCTGCAAGCAAAACATGTCATGTATTCTGAGTTATGACCTTTCTCAATGACAAGCTCCATATCAGAGAAAGAAGCAAATGAAGACAGACCACAGTGCTAATAGTTTTAAAACAGGAACATAGGTCCATCCACAGCTATGAAAACCTTTTTCTTAGAAGCCTTCCCCATGCTTTCTCGGGTTCCTCAAATCTGTTTTGGACGAACGTACAGGAGAGCATATATAAACAATCTGAAGTGACTTAAATGGGTTAAAAGCAATAAGTTAAAGAGTCTACCCACATTCTCTAGGGCAGTGGTTCTCAGTCTGGGGTCCTCAGATGTTTTTGGCCTACATCTCCCCTCCCAGAAATCCCAGCCAGTTTACCAGCTATTAGGGTTTCTGGGAGTTGAAGGCCAAAACATCTGGTGACCCACAGGTTGAGGACCACTGCAGTTGAAGACAATGGCAGTGTTTCTGAATCTGTGTTCCTCCAGGTATTTTGGACTTCAGCTCCCAGAAATCTCAGCCAGTTTACTAGCTGTTAGGAATTGTTGGAGCTAAAGTTCAAAACATCTGGAGGAGCACAGTTTCAGAAACACTGCTCTAGGGCCATGTGGGAGAGAAATGCCTTTGGTTCTTAAATTGTTTAGGCATAGTGAACTTAAAAAAACAAACAAACCCTAGACATAGTGTCAATCACATGTCAAGGGTGGGAAAAGACATTCTGCTATTCTATCCACTGCCTCAGAATGTGTGAATTAAAAATAGGGATGCATTGCTACCTGACTCTGCAAGGAGACATGCTCAATGCCTGGCTTCCTGGTAGCTATCGAGCCAAGGGGTTATGAGAGAGTGTGAGACATGCTACAACCCACCAATAAAAAATCTCTATAACCCTGCTACACCTTACTAATAAGCCAAAGGAAAGGAATGAAGTGGAGGTTGCAACAAGCCAAATACCACACAGGATATGAGGAACAAGATGGAAATGTTATGGATGCTAAGGGAATAAGTGACCTCCGCTGGGCATCTCTGAACAATTTTAACTTGTCGCTACATTGTCGTCACTCGTAAATCATACTTGAGATTGTCGGTGCATGCCATAGGACAGTTGCTGGTCAAACACTGTTTGCATGGACTCCATAGAAGGAAGAATCCGGGAAACCTCACTGAAATGGAAACACATGAGTATAAGAGATCTATGTTCATAATTACATGGACATGCTAGATGGACTAGCTCTTGCTAACCAGCCCAAATAAATGAGTCTGGAATTACATCATGTTATTTTTCTATTTGGTTGGTTTCAGAGATAAGTCTTTAAAGTACTAATGTAGATTAGGGACCTCATCACATTGAGGTCCTCATGCCAGGAGGCACCGGGGCAATCCCGAGGGCAGCAGGGGAAACCGTCGTCCCGCATTGCTGCCTCCCCCATTACAGGGGGGAAAGTGTCACTGTCCAGCTTATCTAATGTTCCCCCTGGCTTATCTAATGAGAAGACTTCCAGGATGGAGCCAGAATGGAGCCCTGCCAGAAGTACTCCTGCATCATGTAATGGACTCCATCGGGCTCCGTCCCAGAAGTGTCCTAGGACAGAGCCCAAGCCTCATGTGATGAAATCCCTAGACTTAATATTTTGTAAGCAAAGACTTGTGAAACTGTAGGCTTTCCATACAGAATGTTCTGTGTCAACGGAGTGTCTGAACTGCTAACAGCAGAACCTTCATTCAAAAACATAGTTGTATTAATTCTGAATGTAGGTCTATACATGTAATCAACAACTAAAGCCTTGTAAATCCATCTAGATCTATATATCTATATTATTCTCAAATTAATTTCATTTTTAAATGTGCCTTTGAACTACTGCATTTCTTTGATTCTAAGACACCATAAGTTATAACACGCACACACACAAAATCTTTATCTAGGGGGCCTTTCACACAACCATATAACCCAGAATATCAAGGCAGATGATTCACAATATCTGCATTGAACTGAAATATCTGAGTCCACACTGCCAGATAGTCCACTTCAGTTTGGATTTTATACAGTTGTGTGGAAGGGGCCTAAGACTTGCCTATTTTTTTGAAATTGTTTAAATTTAGAATTGAAGAAATATAGTACTGTGTGTTTACCTGAAAAGGCCTTTGCACAGTCCTGAAAGCAATTTCTTCAACTGAGGTAGATTCCAGGATCCTTGCTGAGCTGTTTCGAGATCACTGATCATATGCACCCTTAGATAATCCTGAATGAGTTTGAGGTGCTCTTCTGGAATACTGTAAAAGAAAGCAATAGCTTGGAAGACCTAGCAATGAGCTTCTGAACCTAAAATGAGGAAATCCTCCTGGAGAATGGAAACTGCTGCAAGTGGTAAATATATCTTGTTGGGGATGATTTCTAGCAGAGAATGAAGGTGCGGGAGTTTTACAACCTAATAATTTTTCTAAGGAAAGGAAATATCTGGAGATGCATCTCTTCATCACTTTGTAACAAATGAATCAGGTACATCAGTGGTGAGCAAACTCTAGAGATTCCTTAGGATCCCAGCTCCAACTTCTAGAGTACCCAGCTGTGTTGCCTGCAGGCTGAAAAGGGCAGTATATAAGCGTAGCAAACAAACAAACAAACAAACAAACAATTAAATAAATAAATGCTTCTTTTAAGATTTACTTGCTGACAGTTAGAATGTGAAGTGCAAATATGCTAATTTTTTTTTCTCTCAGCCCCTTGCCCTCAGAATTAAATTTGGCTTTACAGTAAAAGGCATCTCTCACAGTTGGTCTATATGTTGTGCTCTATATGTTGTGCAAGTATTTTACATGCATTCTTTTATAGTGCAATATCATTCCAGCACTGCAGATAGGTGAGCTGGAGGCTACAGAGGCTCGTTCAGGGCCAGCTAGCCAAGCAGGAAGATCATGGTTTGTAACAGCCAATGTACATTTATGGAGAAGTACATTCAAATGAGGTCTGTGGGGCTTCCTCTTCAAGAAATGCATATGACTTTGGCCTTCTTAGCCAGGAAGGCAACACCAATTCTCTTTCATCTTGTTCCTGCTCATTAGTGTGTTATGTATTAGTAACTCCTGAAAGAGGGGGAAGGAAAGCCTCCTTCCTGTCTGCAACCCACACAAAACCAAACCTCATAACCCTTTCCTGAGAGAACTTCCAGCTAGCACATTTATTTGTTATCTTCAAAATAATCTTGTGCCACACCTTTGCTATCAGGTGGGACAGATATTCTGATTTTGGTGTTTGCAATATGCTTGCTAGGAGGGCTGGGCTTCTGTATTTTTTAGATATGCAAAGAGAACTTTCCCAGCTTGCAGCAATATGATAGAACACTTAGGGTGCATCTACACTGTAGAATTACACTGTAGAATTAATGCAGTTTGACATTACTTTAACTGTCATGGCTCAACGCTATGGACTCCTAGAATTTGTAGTCTGCTGAGGCAGCAGCACTCTTTGGCAGAAAAAAACCCAAAGATCTTGTAAAACTAAAACTCCCATAATTCCATAGCATTGTACCATGACAGGTAAAGTGGTGTCAAACCCCCATGGTGTAGATGCACAATATATATGCACTCTCAGTTTATCTTCTCAGCCACTTTATATGATCTTTGTGAGGGACTTATTCAAAATAATAATACAGTAAAATGGATTTCTAGACTTTTGTGTTACCTTTCCTCTTTCTGTGACACATGGATTAGGAGAACTCACCTGCTGGTATCCTGTTGCTGCAATCGCTGGAGCAGAGTCTCAGAAAGAGATAGTTTGCTCACTTGTGTCATCTGGACATAGTCATCCAAGACGTGATCTTCTACTGCCTCATTTATCAGAGATGGGACTGAAATACGAGGGGGTAACACAGGTGGCGTAGACATAGAATCTGCCAAAAAGCGCAGAGTTGGGGAGATCAGCTATTTTTCATCCCATTTTCATGACTTTAAAGTTCTGAATTTTTGGTGGAGTGTTACTCTTTGCAGTGAATGTATATTCTGAACTCTGTGCAAGATCTCTGTGTTGTGCTTCAGATTGTGAACTAGGAATGAAGAGACTCAGGTTTAATTAAGAGACTTAAGTCCGTACTATACTGCCCAATATCCCAGGATCTGATCCCAGATTATCTGCTTTAAACTTGATTATATGAATCCAGGGATATAGGGGCAGTGTGGAAGGGGGCTCAGGTTTAAATCCCTGTTCAGCCATGATGCTCACTGAATGATCTTGGCTCAGTTACTATCTCTCAGCACACATCAGCATAAATATCTCAGGGCCCTTCCGCATTGCCTTTTATCCCAGGATCTGATCCCAGATTATTTGCTTTAAACTGGACTATATGGGTCCCCACTGCCAGATAACCTGGGATAAACAGATAATCTGGGATCAGATCCTGGGATAAAGGGGCAGCATGGAAGGGCCCTCAAATGCTTCTTGTGTAATAAAAAATAGAATGAAGGATCTATGCATCCCACTTTGTTGGAGGAGGAAATGAAATAAGAATGTTCTATTTTTCACCACACTGTCAATGTAAAGTACTGCAAACCTGTCATTGTAAAGGGCTGTAAGCCACTGTTAATACATTTCAGGAACACAAAATGTATTGTGTATAATTTAATTTGGCACAAATTATCATTGGGTTGCAGTGAGTTTTTCGGGATGTATGGCCATGTTCCAGAAGCATCCTTTCCTGAAGTTTTGCCCACATCTATTGCGGTCTTCCAACTCCCACAATTCCTAACAGCCTAACAGACCTCACAATCTCTAAGGATGCCTGCTATAGATGTGGGCGAAACGTTAGGAGAGTACGCTTCTGGAACATGGCCATACAGCCCGGAAAACTCACAGCAACCCAGTGATTCCAGCCATGAAAGCCATCAGCAACACATAAAATGATCACATTAGGCATATGACTTGTACTGTTTATCTGATCAGCTATTTCAAATGGGGTTCATTTTTTTAACAAATGGGGTTACACAGGAAGATGCAGCTACCAGTGAAGGGATAAAATTATATTATTGTCCCCACATAAAGAAGTCTGAAACCCCAGTGAAATTTTTTCATCACAATCTAGATTTCTAGCTTGTAGTAACTTAAAAACCTTTAAGTTACTACAAGGCTTTTTGGGTACTTTGAAATCTAGGTTAGGTAACCAAAGAAAAGAGATGGGCAAAATTATCAAGGGAATTAGAACACAGCACATGTAAGAGAAAATGTACAATGTCTCGCTCACTGCAATGCTAGAAATGTTGGGAATGAACACACATTTCGTTGGGATAAGAAGCCTTATGGGGAATGAAATGCCCTAATCTTTCATTCCATAGCTACACCCCTCTTACATGGTGTGTAAAGAAGACCTGAACTGTAAGGAACCTTTTTGGTTTTACCAGTTTATTTGGGATAGAAATGAGAAAAGAATCTATTCTTATTAATAAAACAAAGAAAAATAGTTTTTCTAGTTTGCCATAATGCCAATGGGGCCTAAAACATTCATTCTTATAAAAAGTAGTCAGAATTGTAATAAAGTATTCATACTATAGAAATAAAATCCTCTTACTTATTCTTGGAAATGATTTGGGGGAATAGATATGTGTTTGCACCATATGTCAAATGGACCTCTTTCTCCCCATTCAGGAGACTCTGTGTGTGTGTGTGTACATCGTGACAATAATTTCACAATTCTGGCTAAATAATAATTATTAACACAAACTACTACAAATTAAATGTAAGTAGCTGTTTTGTATTAATGTCTGCCATTTAAGACCTAATTGTGGCACCATTGCAACAAATATAATTTCCCTTCCATCCTAGTTTCCCAGGAATCAGCAACATGGGGAGAAGGAGGTCCATTCAATAATATTTCTGTTAAGGGGTGAGATCAGGAGAGTTGCTTAGTTAAGTACAAGCTGAGATGATGCAAAATACCCATCAATATTCCACAATCCATTGTTTTTCCATTCCTCTGGGACAACAGTCTTCCCAAACCAAGTACTTAAACTTCTTTCCTCAACAATCTCATGTCAGGTCCAGAAATACTAGACTTTTCAAGGACTAGTAATCTAAGGACTTTTTGGAACAAAGCTACCTTCTGTGTTTTGAACTACTTACCCTTATCATCTTCAAGCTCATCTGTTGCCTCTTCCTCTTCCCGTGGAACTGGGTATTTAAGGCTCCGGACTAGTCCCATATTCTCTTTCTTGTAAAACTCTATGACTTCATCCAAGTTGTTGAAGTACTGCACTGGAACACCTTCCGATGCCTGAAAACACCACACAAAGAATTGATATCAAATAATTTCCAGAGCTGGAACATTCATATAAGAACAATACAGAAAAACTTAGCAGTCAATCCAGGCATGTAGCCGGGGGGGGGGGGGGGGGGGGGCTTGAGGGGCTTCAGCCCCCCTCCCCCCAAATTCTCATGGTGGTTCTCGAAAAGGCCTTACTGGTGCATTATTTAAACTGTTATGTTTATTCATATCATGATCTGATCACCATACTCAATATATCCCATATGCATGGGGGTATTGGGGTAATGATACAAAGGTTTGCTAGGCTAGACCCTCTTTCACTCAGACTCAGCCCCCCCCCCCCAAACCCCCCCTGAAAAAAATTCAGCCCCCCCCCCCCCAAAACGAAATCCTGGCTACGGGCCTGAGTCAATCCATAAAGTGTAATCTGATGAAAACTTGATTTTGATTAGCTGTTGGTAATCTTCAGATTCTGAACTTCATCACAGTTTAAGCCAATGTACATATACTTACTCAATAAGCATATCGCTTAAGTAATTCTGGTAATTAGATATTCTTATCCACTGTTGCCTCCATCCCCCCCCCCCCCCCCCCCCCCCAATGTAAATCTGTTTCAAGATTGTAAGCCTTACGGGCTAGAGACTTTTTCTGTACATAAGGCTGCATGCCTATGGATGGACTTATATAAACACTGCCATGACCATACTTTACTTTATAGTTTTCTCTGGGGAGACTCATGTTTAGAAACAGGATGCAAAATATGAATTCAAACAGTGTAGGAATTATTAGTTACCTTTTCACCTGTTCTTAATCTGACCCCAAAGGAGAATGTCTTAAAACACATTGCTTCCCAGAAATAATAATAATAATAATAATAATAATAATAATAATAATAATAACTACTGTTATTATGATGTTTATTTATACCCCACTTTTTCTCTCAACAAATGAGAATTAGTTTTGAACAATAGACAATAAGCCAGTTTGTTTGCATAGTGAAATAATTTGCCTTCCATGATGGAGAGCAAAGTGAAATGTGAAATCCTATATCCACGCTCCTGGGAGTCTCTAGGATTACATATTAAGGAAGTCATCATATAGGGATTCAGAGCTATCAGCCCCTCTTCTGACTCTAAAGGGATGAGAAATGCAGCTGGGACAGCATCGTAATTTTTCTGTTATTGGGAATGTTTTGTTGTGTTGACAACTCACCCTTCTGTGCTGACTTCCATTTACTGCTGACACAAAGATTTTTACTGGTTCATGATCACTTCCGCTCCCTTACCCCACTTTTCAGCTTTCATTCACTGATAATATTACTGCCGTTCTTGCAGTTATGACTAAACAGAGGCTGGATGGCCATCTGTCAGGGGTACTTTGTGCTTTTCCTACATAGCAGCAGGTTGGACTAGATGGCCCATGTGGTATCTTCCAACTCTATGATTCTGTAATTAAATTACTGACAAGTTACTTACCTTATGTTATCTCCCCATACGACTTCATTTAGTCAAACAAATAGAAAAAAGGCCAGAGATATTATTCTGTGATTAAATTTCTAACAACTTACTTATGTTATCTCCCCATACTACTTCATTTAGTGAAACAAATAGAAAAAAAGTCCAGAAATAAAGGTTGCTGACATATATTAAATTCCAACTTTTTCATGCTAATAGGCTTTGCTCTGCATACATACAAATCATAGGAGGGAAGCATATATTTGGACTTGTGTATCTCCAATTTGCCTTTGCGTTTATTCTATTTAGTTTAATTATGTAAACACAAGGTCCCATACCTATAAAACCTAAGAATGATTTTATATCTGATTTGTAGACACTAAGGATTTATTTTCATATCTGAAAAGCCGTCTTCTAATATTTCCAGTGTGTATATTTTTGTTTTGCATTTCTCAACAATAGCATATAAACTTTGACAACATTTCCTTGGAGGATTTTAATCTCAACAATATTTTGGTATGAAGTCCTGGGAGCAATAATTTGATGAGGTACTACCACTCTCTGGCAGAGAAAACTGAAGAGCTTGTAAAATGACAACACCTATGACTCCACAGCATTGAGCCATGGCAGCTACAGCCTTACCACATGGGGCAAAATAAGTGTTCTAGGACACTTTTCCCCCAGTTCATCCATGGAGCCCCACATTACCCATCATACGATGTAGGGTGACTTCTGGTAGTGGTCTGTTGGTGAACTGGGATGGCAGCATGGTAGAAGGCTGCCACCACCAACACAAAAGCAGTCCCGTGTTCCCTAAGGAACAACAGGGCAGCTCCAGGCATTAGCCATGGCAACGTTTTCCCACGTGGAATAGGTAAGCATCAGCTGCTGGCTGCCCCATTTCCACCCCACTGCAGCCCTGATTTGCCATGGAGGCTAGTGAATCACAATGCCAGTAAGTCTGCATGTGATGAGGTCCTTAAAGTGGTGTCAAGCTGAATTAATTTTGCAGTGTAGATGCACTCTATGACTATGACAGAAAGCAACAAAATACCTGTAATGTTTCTTGCTCACAGATTGAGTAAAAGTAATATAGGCCCCATCTATACTGACCATTCAAAGGTAATTTCAAATTGTTATGGACCAAGACACAAATGTCCACAAAAGCAAGAAAGAAAGCCCTTAATGGGCATCAGTGCTCTGTCGTTTGTGCAATCACCATCCGGGCCTAAAACTGGCTCCAGATTTCTTATGTAATCATCTGCACAGTGAAACCACATCCTTTATTATGGGTTTGAAATTGCATTAAATGGGCAAAGTAGATGCTCTATACAAAGTTGCTAGTATAAAGTTTTATACAGTTCTGCAGTGAGTCTTGGGGGAAGAGGAACTGCAGAACATGAGGAGATCCTGCCAGAGAGAGGAAGATTAGTAATACATACTGGTGAGGGGTTTCTTTTCTTTTTGAAATGAGGAACAGAAATGGAAACAAGCAGTGCAAGCAGAAGTGAGAAATGCACAACCACAAAAAAGTAAACTAGGTGCCGACAAAGCTCCCGGATAGTTACTATCTTTAGTGATTAAAAAAAATTGGCAGAAGAGAATGTCTTGTTCGTATTCTGTTAACTGCATGGCCATGGTTGAACTGTTAGTGTTAATTGTAATAGCTACATTTGTAGAATTATTTTAAGTAATAAAGAATTTACAGATGTGGGTCACATCTCAAAGATTATGTATATGTAAGTATTCCAAAACCCGGGGTGGGGGTTAAGTTAAACTCAATTTACAGGTTAAGTTAAACTCAACCTGTAATTGATCACAGTATCTTACTGGCATGGCTTTGTGGGATAAAAATAGGAGGCACTTGATCACAACAGTTCTGTTCCTATGTACAGGGTTGGTTCCTATGTACAGCTGAGAATTCCTGTTCAACTCCATAGCTATTAACCTGGGTTCCATTCTATTTAATAACGTTGACTGATATGTGAATGGTGAAGTTACTGGATATTTGGGGGCTGTATGCTTCACCTCTTCTCTACCTACCTTGTTGCCATGGCCCACTGAGGCTGTGCAGGTACTGTACTAGATCAGGCCCTGGATACTGTTATGAGCTGGATGAGTTCCAATGAATTAAATTTGAATCTAGATTTATTATTTGTTAATTTGATTCATTTATATTCCCACCTAACACAGCACTACACAGCATTAAAAGCCCAAGCACAGTCAGTTTGTAAAAGAACAAAAATAGGGTGCAGTTCCACAGTCTGGGAGCAACCACCGAGAAGGATGTCTTCCTTGTTTCTACCAAATGAACATGAAAAGATGGCAGGTCAGAGAGAAAAACCCTTCCACAGAACACTAAAGTGTGGCTCAAAGTGTTTGAGTGTGGCTTCAGCTGGCCCACCAGCTATGGCCGTGCTGTATTGTGATAATCTCCCCACTGTAGTTCATGCACTGAAAACTTCTCATGCACTAAATGTAGGGATGCCCTTTAAGGGCCTCATCACATGAAACATATTCCCATCCAAGGACACTTTTGGTCCATTTTAAGGACAAAGTTGCACGGAGCCCATAACATGATGTTTGGTTACTCCCAGCAGGGGCGGCTCAGCCCATTACGCAAAGTAAGCATTTGCAGTATAGTTGATTTTGCCCAGGGGTGCTCTTGAGGCGCTCTTGGGGGAAAATAGACCTTGACATATGCGAGTTGTAGTTACTGGGATGTATTGTTCATCTACAATCAAAGAGCATTCTGAACTCCACCAATGATGGAATTGAACCAAATATGGCACACAGAACTCCCACGACGAACAGAAAATATATATCAGTGATTGGTTGGGGGGGGGGGCAAAATACTATTTGCTTACCATTGAAAATTACCTAGGGCCACCTCTGACTCCCAGTCATCATCCATTGCCTTTCATCCTTGAAATGGTGCTGAAAAGAGGGAGTTCAGAACACAGGGAGAAATTGTGTCCTCTCGTGTGCACCAGAACTGCCAGAACCAGCACTAACACTGAAAAGTACATAGGATGGGATCTGACAGATTCATCCGTGTTGAATCGTTTCAGTGACGTGGAGGAGTGGGCATTCCTCACCACATTGCTTCTACTGAATTTTCTCCTTAACAGCAATCTAGGCTTGAAATCATGCTCTTGCTAGGTTTTTAACATGGAGGGAAGCAAAACCTTGCAAGAGGGGATCGTAGCAAATGGTGTAAAATTACACTGCTATAATGGAGGGAAGGAAGACATGTGAAAGACTTACAGCCTCATCACACTAGAGCCTGGATCCACTTTAAATCCAGTGTCTGCCTCCTGAAGAACTCTGGGGCTTGTAGTTTAATGAGGCCCAGGATCTCTCTGGCTGAGCAATTTAAAGGTCCCTTCCCAAACTACAAGTCTCAGAATTCTGGATGAGGATGAACCGGGTGTTAAGGTGGATCCATGCTCTAGTGTGATAAGGCTGCTATTGTGACAAAGGAGTTTAAAATCCCCCTGCTTTCCTCTTCACCCACCCCCAATGGGATGAGGTTCATAGTAATCTTGGCTTTCG